CTCTGAGAGCCAGCACTCATTCATTCATTCATTCATTCATTCATTCCTGCAACAGAGGAGGGCTTATCACATGCTGGGTTCTTCTCTCAGATAAAATACTGTTGGCATCTGAAATGAAGCCTGAAAGGGGAAACGGTTTCCAAGCTCCTGCCTTGTCGACAGTATTTTTTTTTAAAAAAAAAAATCTAAAGTATCCAGGTTGGTATACTCCATAAATCCTCATACACTTATTAAGATCGAGAAATCAAAAGCTGCAGATCATCTTGCATGGAATGAAATGTAAAATCCATTGTGAGGGCAATGGTGATATTCAAGCACACCTGGAATAACCAATCTTTGGTCAATCTTTGCACCCTAATGCTGTAAACAAAAAAGTTTAATTTAAAAGGATCTCATATAAGTACAATGTCAAAATGCAAATAATAGTTGCTTCTGGGATGAAGGTTCTGCTGGTTCTTAAGTGTTCTGCGTGTCTCAGTGGTTTATATATAAGGCACCATCTGCACTCCCAACAATCAAAAAAGTCCTCAAGTTAGAACTAGTGCGATACATAAAATGGGGCTGATTAGATTAAATGCAGATAATTACTTAGCCATGAAATTGCCCTGTCCAATTAAAGAAGCAGTCATTACTGTAAATGGGGACTTTGAAGTGGGTGCTGGTGGATAAACTCCAGCACAAAGTTTTCCACGATGGGAATAAAAGTGTGCAGGTACCACTCTCAACACGAGTTGGCTACTGTCTGCGGCCCACACCTACCAGGTTCTTGGTGTTTTTATTTTCAGGTTTTTTTTTTAAGAGTGTGATGCACAAAAGCAGAGAGCTGCTTTCACCAATCTGTAAACCCCCCCCATATTTAAAAGTATTTTCCCTTCATGAGAAATATAATGAAAGCAAGATCTCAAAGTCCTGGCTCCATTTAACTTGAATCGAAAGCAAGTTACTCTTCCATGCCATCTCCTTCCATGTACCCGGGTTGACATTCAGCCTGACTGCAGAGCCTGCACGCTGGGGCTGCAGCTGGCTACCGCTGCCACACCTGCCGTGCTCAGCACAGTCCAGTGTGGGTTGTGTAAGCGCATGCGCATGTGCAGACCCACCCGTGTCTGCCTCTCATCAGGAGAACATCCATCTCAGCCGTGGGCCAGCCCCCCAGCCATGGGCTCCCCGATCCACTTCCTGTAGACACACTCCCGGAACTGAGGGAGAAGGGAGAAATTCCTCTCCAGGCACAGCCCCAAGAAGCAGTGGCTCTCAAGCCAGCACGTGACAGGCCCTTACACCCGATGGTGTTGAATGGCACACCGAGAAAATGAAAGTGGCAAACGCTTACAGGACTAAGTGTAGGTGTGTGCTACACGCCTTCTCAGACTTAAGACACCTTCTTGCGCCATCGAGCCAGACTTCAGCATCATTGAGAAAGCGGAGCCATTGACCCACAGGTATAAAAGCTGGACACGGAAGGAAGCGACTGTTGGGTGACAGTCACAGATCGTTTTCATGCAGGTTTTGCTGGAAGCACTCCAAAGCTAGACGTGGAGGCGACAGCAGACCTGCCCCGCCAGGAATGCTTTCAGTCCATGCTGTGGACAACACTCACAATGGCATTTTCTATTTCTAGACTTATACGCTGTAGGCTTCACTTTGATTGATTATATCAAGTTGTCATCAGGCCGTGCCTAAACGGGAGATAATTCCCCAGCCATATCGCCCGCCTATTTTTAGTTCTTTCCTCATCGAACACAGCTATTACAGAACTCTTCAGCTGCACGTTCAAAGCAGGTCAATGCATTTAACGTGAAGATATTTAACACCTGTATGAGAGCCCCTCCCCCACTGTGTACAATCCAGTCATCCCCCTCACGCCCCCCAGATCCCAGCTGCCTTTATGACTTAGAAGGAAGAAGGTAAAAGGAAGGCAAGGTTTTTTTTTCGGGGGGGGGGGGGAAGCGGGTACCTAAACCATCTTGAGTAAAATGGGTTATTTCAAAGACTTCTTACAAGTTCCCTCACTTTATGGGAATCTATATAGTTCTTAAAAGCCCTGACTAAGTAAACTCGAGCGAAGGGGGGCAGAGCAGAATGACTCTTCAACCTCTTGCAAGATGCAATGAGTTCTGCACAACAAATAGTTCTGGGGGAATTGAACACCCTTTCCAGCATCAGCCCCAAGCCTTCCGGTATCAAAAGGAGCTGGCCTTTCGCTCTGCACTCAAGCACCACTTACCGTGGTTACCTCATGCTAATCCATGTTTCGGGAGCAGAGTGATTTTAGACCCTGACATTTGAAACTTTTGTGGCTTTTCATCTAAGCAGAGCAAGCAGCCCGAGTGGACATCGTCCAGCTGCATACCACATGCAACAAGGGTTTATTTGGATTAAGAAACGCAATTGTTCCAGGAGAGAAATAAAATTGACATGTATACTTTTATGCCATCACATTTTGAACTTGGGTCTTGAGCTACATTTGTAGTTTTATACATATTAAAAAAAAACAGCAAAAATAAACAATGGGCTCGAGTCTTGCCAGAGCCTAATTTAGTCACTGATAGGATTTAGGGTGATTTATGACTCGTAATGAATTGAAACACAAGTAGCCAAAGAAACAGAATCAAGAATGGATCCTGCCCATTAATGGCACGCATAGCGTGCACACACAGGACTGTCACGATGATGCCACAGCCTGGCTCCATGGCACAAGAAGTCACCCATCAATGACATCTGACACCCATCGCGTTAAGGTTTGTCAAGGGTACCTTGCCAACCAAGGAACTTTCATTGTTAACCTCTTACATTCTCTGAGACTTAGTAAGAGGCAGGCGGGACCCTGACGAACAAAATCAAATGTCTAAAGCCATTCTAAGATTTCAGGTGATTTCCTTCAGACTTCGGACTTTTTTTTTCAGACGATCCAGCTCCATCGGTTGCTGCAGAATTTTGACATCCCTTAGAACTCTAACTGCTGAGCAGCACATAGCAACATCACCCTTGAGGGGTGAGCAAACCAGGGCGGAGAGGCGGGAAGGGCCCGTGCTTCTCTGGCTTGTTCTTCTCCCAAGTTTGGCAAACCTTCCATCAACCCCAAAGCTCTGCACCTTGACCAGCTACTGCTTTATCTGCTGTGTCCAACAGCCCTCGCCACATCTTAGCACATTTCATCTCGAAATCACTAACTTCCACAGGGCTCCCGCCATGCCACCCAATCCCACCTTGCCAGCATCCTGTTTTCCTTCTTTCTTTTTTCTTGCATTCTCACACACACCTGGGCACAGCGTCTCACTCTGCGGGGCTCCCCCCATAGCCCTGTCAGTCACTGCCTGTCCCTCCTCCCCGCCGTGCCTGGTTCCAGTACTGCTGGTTCCAGGAAGACCCCTCAGTCCCTAAAGGGCTGTTACTACAGAGTTCAGACTCCAAGTTGGGAATTCTTAGCTACACTAGCATCTCCACAAGCATCGCTGGCCACCTACTCTGAGGATGCCAGTGTGGACTGGCGCTATTGACAGCCCCTCCTCTGCACAGGGAGCAATGCCCCACAGTGCCAGGCCAGGTGGCATCTTTGAGATAGCTTTTTCAGTTCAAAAGGCAGCAGCAACTTTATGCCACAAAAATTAGTGTGCTTCTGCCAAATTTTCCAGCAATTTTTTTTTTTAATCTTAGAGTCCTCCGACAACATCCGTCTCTTCCTGCATTATTTTTTTTTAAAGGGGACGTTTTCTCGTTTCATCTCTCTCTACTCGTGTGTGTGGCAGCTGCTGTTTGATCTGCTCATCGGCTCTGATCTGTTTCATGTTTCAGCCAAAGATTAAAACTGCTCTGTAATTCTAAGCAGATGGGTCCAGGAGTGCAACCCTATCATTATACCTTCTCTCTTCTGCCCTCGATCGGCATAGCCTTCCATCGGGACTTTTTCAAACACTAGGAGCTCCGTGGAGCTCCGGGTACCCCGTGGTAAAGCGGCAGGTCTGGCCCAGCAGACACTTCCCAAGGCCGGGCAAGCTCTGTGAGCCGCCCATCCGGGCAGGACTACAAAGCGAGCACAGAGCAAGCAGCAGCAGCCCCGGAATGGGGGATGGGGATAACTTGCCCCTTCCACCCCCAAGCCTGTTTCTTGATTCTCCTGCGTGGGGGTTGTTTTGAAAACAGCCTAATTTTCTGTCTGATCTCCAAAGAAGTCGGTGGATGTTTCTGAAAGAGTACCAAGACATCACTCTGTTGTTACGTCAAGTGTGGGGCTACTGGGGACAGTCTGCCCACGGCACCTGCATTGGTAGGAATGATGTGTTCTGCCAGGCCCCTCGTTCTCCACCGCAGCCTGCCAGGAAACCTGCCTCGGCCACCCCGGCGCAATTGTGTGTTACTTTCCCCAGTGCGCCAGGAATGGGGAGGTGGTGGCAAGGAGCTGTGTTCGGTTGAATCTCAAGAGGCTAATTTTAGGCATCACAACTTGGCTACTTGGGGTCCCCCAGAACCTAACAGCCGCCCTTCACCAGGGAGACTCGCTGAGTCTACACCTGGGTCCCCTCCTCCCTCCAGGGCAGGCGCACAGCCAGATGCTCTCGCACCCCTAAACCATCAAAGTTTCTCTTTGCAGTCTCGTAAAAGGGCGGACCGCATCAAGCGCCGGCAGCACTCAACTCTGAAACAGGATCGGGCTGCCCGGATTACACGACAGGCTGCAGTCTGAGAAGCCCGGGGAGTACAGCAGGAAAAGTTTTCCCTCGGACTCCAGGCTGCGGAGTCTAAGATCAAAGGCGTCTGTGTGAGCGAGCTCAGCGCCCTCCCAGAAAGCGCGCCCCGGCAGCAAAACAGCTCTAGGCGCCGCCGGGCACTGGGGCCCCGCGCCAGTTCCCTCTCGCAAGGCTCAACAGGAGGGCGCAGGGCACTCTCGGACCCGCCGAGGGGGCAGTGTAGGATGCGCTGCCATCCTCCCCGGTTCCCCGGGCGGGGACCACCCTCTCACTCCTGCCCGGGCGCAGCGAGCCTTCCAAGGGCAAACTCACCATGCAGCAAGAGGGCCGGGAACAGGTATCTGAACAGGAGGCGGCACGGCCAGGACATCTCCAAGTCTCCTAGGGGCGCGCCCGCTCGCCGCGCTCGGAAGCCGTCCCCGGGCAGCCCCGCGGCCCGCGCGCACTGCTCTCCGCTTCGGGCCGAGCCGGGCGAACTCCTGGGCGCTGGACGCGTGCAGAGGACGCAGTGTCTCGGCCGCAGCCCGTGGGGCGACCGGGCCAGGCCCGGGGCCTCAGGAGGCGGCGGCAGCGGGGGCGGCCGCCGATCGCCCCATGCCCGGTGGGCACGGCGCGGGGCTGCGAGGCGCGCGCTCGCTCGGCGCCGTCGGCCCGACGGGGTCCGCGCCCTGCCGGCGTCCGCGTTGGCGTCGCGGCCTCTCGGTGAGCCTCCCCGGCCTCTCCGCTCCCGGCCGCCGCGCGCGCCGCTCCGAGCTGCAGTGGCCGCCACCGGCGCCGCAGCTGCAGCGTCTCTTCATATTTCCCGAGAGCCGCCGGCGGGCGGCCGGGCCGCGGCTGGGAGGAGGGGCCGGGGGAGGGGTCGGGCGGCGACGCCGCGCCACCGCCCCCGGGCCGCCGGCTAGCGAGCGAGCGAGCGGGGGCGCACACTTGAAAGGGCCGGGCCGACGGGGCTCCGCCTCCCGCCCCTCGCCTGCCTCCAGGCGCTCTATCCTCACTCTGGCTCTGCGCCCCTGCCCTCCCACCCCCCCAGTTCTCCTCCTCCTCCCTGCCCGCTCCGTGCCAGCTTCCTCCGGAGAGGGGCATCCTGTCCCCTCTCCCATCAGCAGAGAAAAACTCTGCCCTTCGGCCCTCCTGCCTCCCACCAATTCTCCTCCTGCCCCCCCGTGCAAGGTCTCCAGTGTGCCTGTGGAGTTGGGGGGCACGCGTTAGCAAGTGCATGGAGGAGAGGGGACGAGCTGAGAGCGGGGATTCTTGGAGGATCTCCCGGCAGCGGGGATGTTGTGGCCCTGGTCGCTATCCCGGGTGCAGAGCCTCCCTGAGCTGCACGATCCCTCCTGCCTCTGGGGAGCACGGGGCGCCAGGTGGCAGCCCCAGCCTGTGGAGGGCGTGGGTTCTCCTTCCATCTCCGGCTCAGCAAGCAAGTGGCTTGTTGGAACACGGGCATGGTGGAGGCCGGGGGCGCGGGAATCTCATGAGAGGTTTTTCCATGTCAGGCTGGGGCGGGTGTCTGTGCTCCTCACTGGGTGCTGAGTTTAGCCTTTGTTGGGCGCTGGCCGATTGACGCCCTGTATCACAGAGTCCTTTAAAGATCCCGAAGGCCCGAGCTGTTGCTGCTGCCTGCTGCACACCGCCTGGCAGGTTGCTGGGCTCCAGAACCTGGGAGGTCGCCCCTGCAGGGGGTCGGTCCGCCTGCTTCTCCCTCACCGGAGGCAGCCTGCTCTCTTAACAGCAGACAGGACCGCCAGTGGGGGAACACTTCCAGGCTTCCCTGTGCCAGTGTTGTGGTAAATCAACCATTTTCTCTAGATGTCTGTCTTGAGAGCGCTCTGCCCCGGTGCTTAAGGCACTAATTCGGCTCCTTGTAACTTCCAAAGCTAAGTGGGACCTTAGCGGGGAGGCATCATACAACGTATGCAAATGCGCAAGACAGCTTCCACTTGCCAGCCCCACGCCCTGGCAGGAAGGTCAGGGGCCCTGGGGTGATGCTGCTGTTTGAAGTCTTCCTCTGTCACCACCCGTTGTTTTGCATGGTTCACACCTGAGATCGTGGTCTGTACCAGCTGCTGAGCTCCCACACACATTGTAAAGACTAGCCTGCCGCTGTTTGCAAACCTTGCAGGTATGCGAGTTCCTGGGTGGGCAAAGAGGAAGGCCCGCCAGAGGGGAGCAGTGCGTGCCCCGGTGGCGTTTCGGGTCAGTTTCTCTGTGCAGAGACCTGGGAAACAGATCTTTCCAGAATTTTAAAACAAGAGCTTGGAGTTCTTCATGTGTGCCAGGCCCTTGGAAGTGATTAGAGCTGTGTCCTTGGCTGCTGAAGCCACTGGCCTTGTTCTCCAACACCACATGCGAGGCAGCGTTTCATTTTTCTATCACTTCATCATTTGATGTGTTTGAATCTATCGGGGACTATTTGAAACAAGCAAATAACCCAAGAGGCGGGGGGCACGGTGTCTTTTTATATAAGCAATTTGGTGGCTAATCATTGAAAAAGTCAAAGCCATTCATCACACAATAGCAGACCAATTAGGTCATGTATCTGCTTGACTATCTGATTCTGCTATTTAAGTAAAAAAGAATGAAACAAACAAACCAGCTGTAATTTGGTGTCATTTTTGCAGTTGTTTCATTTTTTTTCCCCCTTTCCAACTGGTTTTACTGGGGTGGTACAAACACAGCGGGAATGATGTCAGCGCTGTGAAATTTGTTTTGCCAGTTTATTTTCCACACACAGTGTCCCAGACGTCAGTGCTGGACCCTCAACTTGCCCCAGAAATGTTCCTGTGGAACTCTGCCGTCTGAGGATGTCTTGTTTGTCCACCTCCAAGGCTCATTGTGTGCATGTGGTTTTTTGACACGGGCCCTTAGGACACCTGTCTGTAATGATGAAGAATGAAACACGTGCACACTCACTCACATACAATATGATCTAAATTTGTTTTCTGGTCCTGGAGGAATAAGTGATTAGAGTTGTGGGATTGGGAAGCTAATGAAGCATAGTGAATGGAGCTCAGGATCTGGACCCCCCTGGAAAAAAAAAATACAGGAATTTCCCAAATAACTTGGAAGGACCCCAACCTAGAGACTGAGCACACACAGCTCAAGATCCCCAGTTTTGGAATATTCAAAGTTCTTTACAAACATTTTGTGCTGATGGGGAGGGAGAAGCTCAAAGAAACCAAGAGTCCCGGGACACAGCAGCAGCTTGCAGGACCGAAACAGCCAGCAGCACAGGTTCCCAGAACACCATGGGCCTCCTACAAGCCTTGTGATTGGCTTGGTCTGGGGAGTTCCGAGTCAAGCACCAAGGTCCTGGGACACTTGTGTTGGGCTTCTGGAACTGCTGTGACCATAGGGCTTGGCTTTCTCACAAGGCTCTCTCTGAAGTTGTAAGAAACACAGAGAGTTCACTGTCCTGTTCTCCTAGAAGGATGACCCTCTCCCTTAAAACCACACCACAGCTTGGTTTTGTAATGAATCCTTGGTTAAAAAAAAAAAAATGGACTTGACGTTTTGCCTCGTGCAGGCCACATGAAATTTCAGATATTCTGAGCCTTTTAGTTCTCGAAGGCCATGATATTTCCAGGAAGGGTCAGAGTAATGAAAACCTGCTATTGCTGACTGTATTCCACAGTGACTTTGGTTGAAAGCACTTTACGACCTCCGTGACCCCAGAGGACAGTAAATGTCCTCAGGAACAGACTTTTCTCAAAACACACTGGTGTTAGTGACAGGCCCGTGACATCAGGCTGAATTCCTGCAGACTGGCAGCCTCTGAAGTCCGGGGATGGCGGGGTCTCCTCTGCCCTTCAGCACCCGAGCCCCTGTTTCCAGTCTTCCAGCCACAGCCAGATTTCCATCCATGGTCAAGACATGCACCTCGGAGAAGACTCTCTGGCTTCCTTGGAGGTAGAGCGTGTCATGTCAACTTGAGGAGCCTTGAGAGGGAGAGATTCATGAACTAAAGAGCTGTGCGTCTTACTGTGAGTTACAACAGGCTCTGTTCTGAAAAGATGTGGTTCAGATGTGCTTCTTAGCACATCACACGCCGGTGAGCTTCAGAATGAAGTGTTGCATTCCATTTTCTACTCCTGGTACCCATCAGAGAGAAAAAATGATGTGTTTGTAAGCGGACCACTCCTTCCTGTCTCCACTGCTTCGCTTGGTCATTGCTGCAGCGTGCCTGTATCCTTGATGGAATACCATCCCCATATGTAAAATCATGTAAACATTGGAGCAGGTGCAAACAGGCTGTCCGGGCTTCGTCTTCCATTCACTCACGAGTCTGGGGGCTGCTGATGGGCAGGCTGAGAAGAGCGATCGTGGGAAGCAGATGTGAGACCACTCAGGGCCAGGCAGAGTGAAGGACCTCAGGACCTTTCTATCTGTATCTACCTGGGACTCCTAGAATATTCTTTGTTGTTGGTTCGTGGTCTTGCCTACCCAGCATCTTTCTTTATCTGCTCAATTAGATGACTTGCCTCTTTGAAGGAACTAAGAGGACTGTTTTATGTTTGTGTTCCCCCAGCCCACCCCCACACACCTTCTCAAGGCCTTCGTTAATGAGCACCTGCTGGACTGGTACATGAGGTGGGATAAGATCAGACCACCCACAGAGAGGCCACATCCCCAGAACCCCCTAGGCCCACCGCTCCAGGAACACAAGGCAACACCTACGAAGCTTCTCGGCCCACAGCTCCAGCAACAGCGAGACATAAGAATGTGGCTGTTCTCGGGCCTGGCGCAGTGGTGCAAGTGGTTAAGGTCCTCGCCTTGCACGCCCGGGATCCCATAGGGACACCGGTTCTAATCCCGGCAGCCCCGCTTCCCATCTAGCTCCCTGCCTGTGACCCAGTAAAGCAGTCGAGGACGGCTCAAGGCTTTGGGACCCTGCACCTGCGTGGGAGACCCAGAAGAGGCTCCTGGCTTCGGATCGGCATAGTATCGGCCGTTGTGCTCACTTGGGGAGTGAATCATCGGATGGAAGATCTTCCTCTCTGTCTCTCTCTGTATATCTGCCTTTCCAATAATAAAAAAATAAATAAATAAAAAGAATGTGGCCGTTCTCTGTCCATCTGCCCGTGGGTACTAGGACAAATGGAGCAGTGCTCACCCATGGGAGAGATGAGAAGAGGACCATTCTGGCAGTCTTGAGAAAGAATCAAGTCACTGGGCTGCTGCTTCTGAGCTATGTGACCTCAGGCAACTTGCTTGTCCAGGCTGTGCCCAGCCTCCTTAAAACTAGGGCTAGTAGAGGCACATGCCTACACATATAAGCACATGCGAAAAAGTGCCTCAGTGATCATGAGGTTAGACCAGACAATAATAACCCCCAACAACGATTACCCCTGGGGGGGGGGTAACAATCGATTTATTTAACAGTGTATATGCGAGAAACTTACATATTATGACTTGTGGCCTTCCAAAGGGACCTAGTTCTTAAACAGCTGTCAACACACTCA